TTTTTTTGCGTGTGCTACACGTATTAAATATTTTGACATTGCTTAACTACTGTTGTTTTCTGCAGTTTTTGGGATTGTGAGCTGAAGGGAGGGGGGTGGTCTGGATTCTTTGGTTGTGCCTCTTCCCCTCCAATCTAGTGCCCTTCAGATTGGGGAGAGTGAACTTAGTTTGTATATAGCAGTGGTTCCCAAGCGTTGGTCCTCCAGATATTTTGGACTTCGATCTCCGAGAATTCCTGACTGTTGGCCATTTTGGCTAGCGCTTCTGGGACTCGAAGTGCAAAACACCTGGAGGATCAAAGTTTGGGAGCCACTGGTCTTCTATAGGGTGGGAGCCAGCCATGGTTGCTTGGTCTCTGCTGATCCTGTTATTGTTGATGATGTAAGCCTCCAAGTCATTTTTGACTTATGGCGACCCTAAGGCAACCCTGTCATGGGGGTTTCTTGGCAAGGTTTGCTCAGAGGAGGCAATCCTTGCCATCCTCTGAGGCTGAGAGTATGTGACCTGCCCAAAGGGCAGCCAGTGTTTTTTTATGCCCAAGCAGGGAATCAAACCCTGGTCTCTTGAGTCATAATGCAATTCTCAAACCACTACACCACAGGGCTGCAATTTAACTGCTGTAGCCTTACTCTATGGAATCCTGGGATTTGTTGTTTTTGCAAGGTCTTTAGTGTTCTCTGTCAGAGTGATGGTGCCTTGCAAAATTACAAATCCCAGCATTCTGTAGGATGGAGCCATAGCAGCTAAAGTGAAGTTATGGCAACCCTAAGGCGAAGCTATCATAGGGTTTTCTTGACAGGATTTGTTCAGAGGGGGTTTGCTGTTGCAATCCTCTGAGCCTGAGAGAGTGTGACTCACCCAAGGTCACCCAGTGAGTCTCATAGCTGGCTGGGGGTTTGAACCTAATTCTTCCAAGTCCCAGTCCAATACTGCGCGATCATGGCTCTGCCTTGGCTGGGTGCTGATTTGATTTGATTTGCCCTATAAAGTATGATGTAATAGGGATCATTCAAAATGGGAATCAGATGGGCTTGGATTACACTTCCCAGCAGCTCTAGCCAATATATGCAGAGGTGAAGAATGCTGACAGATGCAGTCCACTCAATATCTGAAGGGCTGCACAATTCCCAACCACTGTTTTAAATACCATTCCTTCCTCCTTCTTTCTAGACTTGGCCTTTGCGGACTGCTAGAAATAGTGCATATTGAGTCCACTTTAACTGTCCTCAGTGCTAGGGAATCATGGGAATTGTATTTTTTTCTGAGACATTGAGCCTTCTCTGTCACAGAGCTCTGGTGCCACAATAAACTACAGTTCTCATGAGTCCCTAGCACTGAATCAGGGCAGTTAAAGTGGACTCAATTTGCACTATTTCTGGCAGTCTGCAAAGGCCATTAGTCTTAACTTCTCTCTAATTTTGGCTACCCTCCACTTAATGATCAAAATGCTGTATAGATGATCCCTGGTAAGGTTTGTTTGGGACTGTGGGGTAGCATTGCCAGAAGTCAGGCCAAGTGTGTATAGTCTCCAAATTTAGGAAAGGTAATTGAGTTTCTTGAGGTAGGTTTCTGGAAGTGGGCATCTGAAGGTCAGACACAAGGTACTGGTGGACTGGCAAGGACAAGGTCAAGCGTCTTGGCCTTATACTATGCCTGGCCAGTTGAGAAGCTTTATACTACTAGCAGTTTGCCAAGAGCTGGAAGTCTCATGTCCTTGTCAGATTAAATGCTAGATCCTGATCTGGAGGTTTCTGGCCACTTTAGAGAAAATATAAAATATATTACATTCCCTTGATCCATTTATTTTGAAATAAATATCTCCTCAAGGGGAAGGGGTCATTGTTCTTTCAAGAAACAGATGAGGTAATAGTAAAACTGGATAACACAGTCTATCTGTGCAAGTGGTATGAAGTCCAGTTTCCTATGTGCAAATTAAAATGGTGTAGTCCAGATTGGCATCTGTCTGTGGAAATTAAAACAAGGCCAGCCTCTTGCTTCAGTTTTTGGATGTTATCATCAGTTACCATAACTGAGTCAAGAACTTGGAGAATTATAGTCTAAAAGCATCTAGAGAGTTAATCAGGTTGGGAAAAGCTAGCCTAGACTAAGAGGATAACTCAGGGAAACTCCTTTATTTTAGTTCCAAGAATTTAAAATTTGCTTCTTTTAGTGGTTTGTGTTCCATGCTGAATTGATTTTAAAAGTCTGGAGTACTTTTTAACATGCTGCTTGTTACTCATAAATGTGTGTAATCTTCCCTAATTCTTGAAAATCTGGGGGAAATGTCAATATCTATGTATTTTCAGTATCCTGTTTCTCTCAGTACTGAAACCCAAGGTGGTTCTTCTTGTTGTTTCCAACTTAGGAACCTATCATCGGTTTTTCTTGGCAAGTTTCTTCAGAGGGGGTTTGCTGTTGCCATCCTCTGAGGCTGTGACTTGGGGGTTGCTATTTGTCTTGATGAAAGTGTTTGAGAAATAATGATCTGAAGAGAGGAAAGAAGGAGCAAAGGCATAGCAAGCATCAAATAGGGATGAGAAGTAGAGGGTTAAGACAGATTCTGCAGAAAGATGGGATAATGGTAGAGGACATGGGAATGAAACTGACAGCCTCTGAACTAAAATGCAGGTTAACAGTAAAATGGATGGGGAGGTGCTTCTGTTTGAAAATGGGCTTCCTAATGGAATCTTTTACCTCTCTTCTCAGTTCTGTGGTGGTCCCATAGCTATGTCCTGAAGATATTTAGTATTGGGGAATTAGAAGCCCAAGAAGTCAATCTTGCTCTCGCTTTGTGGTAGCTGTTTATCTTAAGTTTATACAGTAATGGGATGAAACATTTATGGCTAAAGATGCTGGGACAAATGTTAAACCTCCCTAGGTGGCAGTGTTCAAAATGGACACTTAAAAAGCTGTTTGAATGAATAGTTGAGTTCTGTATCTGGAATTTGCTTCCTATAATGGAATGACCTGTTTGGAACAATTCTTCAGCCGTGGTGGTGCATAGTACTCGGTAGCAATCTATCTGTGGCTTTATTTAGCTGCAAACACATCAAGACAGATCTTTTAAAAATCATAATGCAAAGCAAACAAACTTCTCAGACCTCTTAAATAACCTATATTAGTTCCTAATGTGATGCCGTGGTTTGAATGTTACACTATGGCTCTGGAGGCCAGGGTTTGAATCCTCACTTGGTCATGGAAACACACTGGGTGACCTTGGCCGAGCCACACTCTCTCAGCCTCAAGATGGCAGTGATGTCCCCCGAACAAATTTTGTCAACAAAACCCATAACAGGCTCCCCTTAAGGTTGCCATATGTAGGAAATGACTCAAAGGCACACTGTAACAACACCGAAATAATGTGTTAAATGTAGTGGAGAGGAGATGGTGAAAAGAAAGAGATAAAAAGTTAGGAGGGGGGTCATTCGAAGAAAAGTGAGAAGTCAACGAGCTCTAGCTGTTTGGTTCATACCAATGCCTTCCAGGCCTTACAGGAGCCATAGGTTTTGACATCACTTCTATATGGGTGGAACATGTCTCAGTGAAGATCTGAAAATGGTAAAAGGGTAGTCAGTGTGGTGATCTGCTTTTCACCAGAATGGGGCTATGAAGGGACACCTCCATTATTCATTATGTCAGTTTCTGGAGAGAATTGCAACATAATGAGTAAGGGTTCAGCAACATGTTATATGCAGACATGTAAGAACATCCCACAACTAATGCTGAAGCATCAGGAGGGAGCCATCTGATGTATGCATGTGTACACACTGTGTGCACCACAGTGTTCATACAATGTAATACTGGAAGTGTGCCTCCTAAAGAGGATAGTGGCCTACCTATTTGTAAGTGATGGTTATTCATTTTCAGTGGTAGGAGAAAGGAGTAGCCCCCTCTGGTCTTGATTCCATTAAAAAAAAAAAAAACCTTGATTAAATGTGCAAATGTTTAGTATGGCTCTGCAACTCCTCTTCCCAACAAACTTCCCTTCTCTATGGTGTACCAAGCATTAATTCACCACACATTACCTTATATGGGATCATGGTGAAAGTTGCAGCCATAGGACCTGGAAAATAGATGGCAAGCAGTAGGGGAAATCTCAAGCAGTAGGACAGTTAGCAAAAGGGATGTGGCATGAAAAGTTGGTGAGTATGAAAGAATACATGTAATTCTGTATAATGCAAAGACAGATTTTTGAGGTAATCCTATTGTTAAATGCTTTGTGGAAAAGCCACACATAATTGCTTCTTTAACTCATCCTAAACCTGGTTGGTTCTCAAAGCGCAAAATGATTTTATAGACATTCTCATAGGAGGAAAAGGTGTATATTTTACTGTGAAATACCTGTTGATAACAAGTTCTAATACAGAGGAAGATTATTTCTTAAAAGAAAGTCTTATTTTCTGAGAACTAGCGGTGCTGCTACTTGTATGGTTGGCCAAACAGTGGGAGGGGAAGTAGGTGAGCTAAGTTGTTGTTCTCAGCCACAGGATGGATATCACAAAAACAGGATGTGTTCTTGCAGCAAACTAGTACACTGCTACTGTGGGCTGTCACTTGATGCACTGAGAAATGTTTCTCTGTTTCCTCAACCTGGATGTATTGGGCTACAATTCCCACCTATCCTAGCAACTATTCCTATGGCTGTGGTATAGTGGGGTCACAGGTTGGTGTCACCCTCATGGTTTCACTCTTCAGCCAGAAGATAGGGGACAGCCATTGGGGGAACTGGGGAGCTCGCATGTGATGCTACACAACCCGTCTGCTGTCAATGTGCAGCTTGTCCACATGGAAAAAGTGTGCACTGGGCCTCAGAGAACCCCCCACAGTCCCCCACCGTTCTTGGCTTGCTTGGATACTGCTAAACACTGGATGCCATCCTTAGGGGTACATGGCTGGCTTGGCCAGGGCAAAGAGGGTTGGTGAGGCGGATCCTCCTCTTCTTCCTCCCTTGGGCAGGATGGAGGCCAGCACAGAGGTGCCACGCCGCTTGCAGTCTCCTTGGGACACTGAGGGTGCTTCTGCCATCTCAATGATGTCACCCAAGTCCGATGGGTGTCACACAGTTTGGTGCATACCCCCCATCCCTTGCTAGTGATGCCATTGCTGTGGTAGCTGTAAATGATAGGAATTATAGCACAACCCTTCTAGAGGGTGCCAGGTGGGAAAAGGTATATTATCAAGAAGTATACACTTGTCCCGCCACATTTTCGGCTTTGCCTTTTGCAGATTTCATTATTCATGGATTTTATTAATATCTTCTCTCTAGGAATATAGGTCCTCCAGCACAACTCTGTGGTCAACTTTAATCAAAAGTCGCACTGAAGGAGCTAGAGATTCCTAGAGAGAAGACTCCACTAGGCATTTGTAGCTCCTCCAGAGCACTTCTATGGTCAATGTCTGGCAGATGTTGACCACAGAGTTGCACTGGAGGACCTAGAGATTCTTAGAGAGGTGTTCTCTCAGGTAAAAACATAGTGTTTTGGTTGTTTATGGTTTTTCCACATTCATGCGGGTCTTGTGCCCCTAACCCCAGCAAATGTGGAGGGATGAGTGTAATTTTTGTTTTAGTGGGGAGTGTAAAAGAAATAACTTAAGAGACCTTTG